AAAGTAAATGTACTTATTTGCTTCACGCTTCTTACACAATTGTGGATTTACACCAGGAGGCCATGTTGAAATCCATAATGACCATCTCTGGATGTATATCTCATGGAGCCAATTTCACACCTGCAGAATCTATTGGCGGCTCAGATTAATAGTAAGTTTCTGTCTGCCTCTATTCAGCTCATCCCTCGCAAACAACCCTGAAACCTCTGCAGCTGGAGTGCTGTCGCAAGGGGAAAAAACAGAAAGGAAGAGCTAATGGGGCTGCTGCAGTGAGATAAACTGATGCTCAGGCAGAGCTCTTCACGCAGGTCACCTCGGTCTGGACCGCTGCCATAACCTCAGCTTTCCAAACTGTCACTCTGTGCAGCTTTCAAGCATTAAGACTCTCAGTGGCTGTAACATTAGAAGCTCTACAGCCGACACTGTCATCTCATCCGCGCTCAGACACACACTCGTCATGACTTCATGCTCTCTATATAACGGGCTAATCCTGCCGAAAAAATCTCAGAATCTTTATTTTTTGGTTCATGCTTCACTCAATGACAAAGTTTTTCTGTTTTTAAAGTATAAACTCTGCACACTTGTGATGTGTGTTTTGAGGGCAAATAAAGGTTGAAATATAAATCTTTAAATTCAATTCAATTCTTTATTGGTGCCAGTTTTCAAATCATGTTAACACAAACACAAACTATACAATCATCAATAAGTAATAAACAATACATGTATTTATGTATTTATTGTACATTTACTTGTGTTTTCTGTCTTTAGAGTTCATGCTTTTTATTGCACTGCTTCTTATGCACATGACAATAAACTTGACTTTAAATGTAAATATATATATTGATCATACGGCAGGACTGTTAGATTGGCTACAGCTTGCTCTCATGGTAACTTCAGCAATAACCTAAAACTCTGTGCCCTGCCATGAAATATCTTCTGGTTATCTTGTTGACTGATATCACATAGGTTTATGTTATTTGTCCAAAGGCAGTGACTCCATCTGGCACAGATTCTGCATTATTCACTCAAAAAAGAGCTGCTTTTTTTTTTTCTTCAGTAAAACAAACAAGCACAAATGGCTACGTAATTACCTCAATCTGTCAGCTCCTATGCAGCTATGTGAAAGAATGAATCCTCAATAGTGAGTCCATGTGATTACAGAACATTAGTTATTGTTCGAGAAGTGGACGACACAATCAGCACACATTACCAGATCATGTACAAGAAATGAAAGATCTTTACAACTCTTTAACTTTTTAACTGATTGTCTTGCTTATTATTGTTTTATGTAATTGTTTGTTTGTTTTTTTATCTTCACTCACCTTCACCATTAAATATTATTGGTGACTTAATTATTCAAAAATGACAATAATTTGGGCCCTATCCTTGAATGTGTTTTAGTTTCTGGGGCCACAGGTTTCCTCACTAGCAGTAGATGGTTTTGAACCCACTGCGCTGACAACTGGGATCTAACTTTCCATCCATATTTATTAATTTACCAATTCAATCTTTCCTTTTGCCTCCGTTTTCCCCTCCTACGACAACTTTTATTATGGCGATTTTTAGTGTGCCAGCTTTTTAAATGTCTAACACCTCATTCTACCCCAACCAAACACCACTTTTCACTAACACTATCCACTTTTTACAAATGTTCATTCTTTCTTTTGCTTTAATGTGATCACATGCTGTAGATGTGAAGTCACCATTTCATGTTACGTATATTTCTTTGTTGTGTTATTTTGAACTTAAAACCATAACATTGCAGGACAGATATGTACAGTGAAAGAGCAGTCTTGATGGTTCGTATTGAATAATATGAATAATGTTCATCACTTGACTGCTGGTGAGATACAGCTTGTCTGCCCTCCAGTGGTGTATCTTATACAGGAGGTATGAGATACACCACCATACGCCATGACTGGTGCTGCACTCACAGGCATGGATGTTGCCCAGTCCAACCATGGCCATGATGCAATTCTAAACGCTGGGTTCACCTGAATTACAAAAAACAAAACACATTTTCTAATTAACCTCTAGTCAGGCAGAAGTGGTTTTATTTGTCCATGTTGTGAGATATCTGAGATTCTCACAGCACACACTGTCAACAGTTTTTATAGGGACTATTTCCTCTGTAGAGAAGTTTCAATGAAAGTAAGAGGGGAAATCCAAAATCCAGGTGTTGGAGAAGCACATGGACATAAGTAAGTACAGATAAACAGAGGAAGTAAAAATATAAATAAAATACAAGTATATAGTATATAAAAGTATAGGGTCATTGCTGTTGTCATGTTGGGTAGAACTTGAAGGACACGTTGCAAAGTTACCACATTGATAGTTGACAGTTAAGATTCCTTCATTACTTTTAGACTGAAGAACAGTCAGTCAGTGCTGATAGTAGTATAATAGAATTATTTCACAGAACTTGGCCAGATTGTACTGGGATTTCATCTCTCAGACAATGCTTAGACTTCCAGGAACAAATGGCTCAGGTTGTTTGTTTTGTGGTTGTTAAAGTCAGTAAAATGTAATTTTATAATCCTGTGAGCGCCACAAACAAAATTCATCTCTGTTCCTTCTGTTGACACAGGAGTCAACATGTGGACACAAACCTGGACCGAAAACTGCCGTGACTAGTTACCGCCAGAGGTGAAGGAGCAAACGTTTAATGTGTTCTTTTGTTATTTGGGTCAAACAGCCCTTAAAGGAAGGAAAGGTCACAACACTGAACAACTATTACTGCCCCAAAATGTGGAAGGAAATTAAAAAGTTCAGGTTTTTCACGGTAAACTTTTAGTAAGTAGTGTAAACCTTTTACAGAAAGAACAAACACTCATTATGCATGATCACAGTGGGGCCACTAATTGAACGACTGACCTGCTGGCAGGCACCATCGACTCTGACACATGTGATCCATGCACACACACCGGGGTCAACAACCACTGACATGACACCACGAAACACATCCATAAAGATCACATAAACATACACATCATAGAAATCAGCTGTAGGGTCATTCTTGCTGATTTATTTTCTTGAACAGAGTTTGAGCTTTTTGATTTGTGATACTTTTTTAAAAAAGTTATGAGGATTTTAGTCAAAATCATTAAAAGAGAAATATTGATCGTACAACTTACCCCTCCAATAAAACGTGCTGTAGCCTGAAGCTGTGAATAAATTGCTCGTGTTGCTGTGTCACGCACATCGACTGAACTGGGTGACACACATAACTGCATGTGCATCTGTAACTGCTGCCCAAACTCAAACTTAATACTGGTGGTTCATGATCAGTGCTTGCAGATATTGCAGATCACAACAGCTAAAAGGATCCAAATAAAACCTGTGATCAAGTCTATCTTTGTACAGATTAGTTTTCACCTGCAGACCTGCAGTAAGATCAAAAGTGTTTGTACTCGGTTGAACCCTGAACATCGCAGATGTTCTGCATCTCCCAGTCCACAGCTGTCTGAGAGTCCCCGCGGCCTCCTCACCGAATCAATGTCAGGCAGCAAGCGTTAATACCCAAGGATAGGAAAGTCAGAATCAAAGTGGTAGTCATGGAAACAACCCAGGCCTGTTTCCACCCGCCAATCGATGAGGTTCTGTGTGTGTGTGTGTGTGTGTGTGTGTGTGTGTGTGTGTGTGTGTGTGTGTGTGTGTGTGTGTGTGTGTGTGTGTCTGTGTGTGTGTGTGGTGGGCGCCGGATGTGGCGAGGAGAACCCCCTATCCCACATTCAGACACAGACCCCCTCGTCCTCCACAGCAAGGTCGGCAGAAACAGGAATCCAGTCACAGAGAGGACGGACAGAGAAAAGATGGTGAAACAAGTTGTTCATGTTGGGATGCTGTTTTTGGCTCTCTGTCTGCACTTGGGGGCAGCTGCTGCAGGTAAGTTAGTAAAGCCTCATATATCATTAAACAGGATGCTGTGGTGTGGAATAATGTGTAGCCTGATTTAGTTATAATTTGAGATGATTCATTTCTAAGAACTCTGGGTGTGTGTGCCGGTGGCTTTCAGACTACTAGTAAGTGTGGATGGATTTCTCTTCAAGAAAATAAATGTGAAGGGGATTTTTTTGGTAGTGCTTTTAATGGTCTGGTCACTCAAATTACAAAAAAATAGTTTTTTATTGGAACTACTTTTCCCACGACCCTGTACGCAGGATGAGCGGCTGACGATGGATGGATGGAACTACTTTTTGAGATTATATGAAAATTATTGGATTTTTCTTACTAGCTTGTTTTTGGGAGAACAGCAGTGGAGGGTCTTTGCTTTCTAGTCACCCTGGATTTATATTTTAATTAATCCCACCGTTGTCTGTGAAGGTTCTCAGTCTTTCAGATCATAGTTATCCAAGGAAGGTTAAAGTCAAGGGCAACTGGACTTTGTTGAAGATACTTGAAGACGTCTCGTCCCTCATCCTTCTTCAGTTCCAATCCTACTCTTATATAGTTTATAGTCACATTATATCTACTAATAGCTGAATTTGCCATATGGAGAGGAGAACAGTCCAGTCTCCTGTATTTGGCTTTTATTATACCCAATATATCAAGTGCTAACAGAACCAACACGTGAATTTAGAGAGGAGGGAGTGGCTGGAATATAATGTATTATATTTTGTTGTGTTTGCCACACAGATCCGATTTAACTTGTTAACTAATGTGGCAGGTATAAATGACTTTTACAGTTTGCTGTTGAATTATTGTGATGTTAGGGAGAGGACATAGCAGTCAAAATAAAATGTTAATATTGCTGGGCAGAGCCTTTAAAATAAAGTAAAACATAAAATATCATTCAACCATCAGACGGCTCGCCTGTTTACTACGACAAAGTATTAAAATCTCTAAATATTATAACTTTATTCTCAAAATATTTAAACTTTATTCTCTTGGGTCAACCAATATTTTTAACATCTTCCTTCCTTTAGGCTTTCGACCTTGGTGAAAACATTTTTCCTGCACCCAAACAAAGGAAATTTCTGAGTCACTCTCTACTGCTGCTGACTACTTCTATGTGAACAGGCTTTACGGGAAACTGTGCTTTTAGTCCAGCCTGTGCTTATCATGAATCAGAAAGAGGAACCATACTTTGCTGATATAACCCAAAGCTCAGATCCCAGCAGTTCCAGTTACTCTGCAGAGGAGAGGAGGTGGAGGAGGGGTGGTGTGCTACAACCACCTCAGCTGAGACAAAGCTTTAATTAAACGTGACCCACAATCCTTCATTATCCAGACAGCGTGTGCAGCTGGACTGATCAATGGCATGGATTGGGATGATAGTGCCCTACTATCTGTCCCAGTAAAGTACTGACATTAAACTTCTGTACATTCCTCTAAGAAAGTCAACTTTTATATTCTGTTAATCTGGTATAAAAAAATTTGTAGCCTTACTTTTATCTAATTCTCACTTCCAGCCAACTGCATCTACTTGTTTTCAAGTCTTTTAACTCAAAATATTGCGCCTCCATTCATCCTCCACCAGGCATGAAAGTTGACGGGGCCCAGGATGGAGGTGGCAGCGGCGGGGACACCATCAGCCACTCTTTGACCCTGGTGCAGCGTCTGGAGGCCCTGCTGGTTCAGGGGAACGGCAGTGACGTGTCGCTCAGGGTGGAGACTCCCAACGCAGACGAAGTGAAGGTGATCCAGGCTCACTCGCTGGTGCTCTCCCTGCAGAGCCCCGTGTTCGAAGAGATGCTGCTGAACCGCAACAGCAGCATGCTGGTCCTGAAAGAGAGCTCCGACAGTGCAGCTGTGTTTGACAAGTTCATCAGGTGAGACAGGAGGAGAAGATATTTTCATCTCAGCATGAGGGAGATGTCACACTGAATGTCCTTGAGCGTCACATCAGCCTTCCCAGTTTGATTGATTTATCATCGCACCCTTTAGAGGGATGAACTTTGCAACTGCAGCCCTACATCTGAGACAAGCAATCAATGATGAGTTCAACATAAAACAAATCAACCAATCAGTGAACTGCTGGCTTGCTCAATAACAGCTCCTGTGGTGTAACAGTAAGACATTGGGGAGCCTGTGCTGCAACAACAATCAATAACAAAAACCTATTTTTATCTCAGATACTAATGAGGTTGATCAAAAGGTACACCTGCCTTTTGTCAGACTGAGAAAACCTTCTTGTTTATATTGCATTTCACAGGATGCTAAAAATAAAACTGTATTTCACCTGTAACTTTTTGGTTACTACAGACAATGACATAATTCAGTCTAAGAGAAATACAACTCTTTAAACCTGCAATAACACTAAAAATAATAAGTAATTTGAAACACGACTCTCTACGACATTTTGTAGCCTCTTTTAAGTCATTGTTTTGATTTTGCAGCACATTTGCTGTTTGGTTAAGTCTCACTGCTCTTGAAAAGCGCAATTTCCAGAAGCAACAGGCAGTTTATTCGCAGCTAACAAGCTCAAATAAACCCACTATCCACTACCTGCCAAGTACCAAATGGTATACAAAGTTAGCAAGTAGCAGATGAACACTGTGGAGCATTTAGCGCCAGATATTTATTTCAGGAGTTGGTGGAGACCAAAACCGAGCTAAAAGGAGAGAATCGGGTGGACATAGACGACTACAATGGGATGATAATGTTGCTCTGTCTGCTGGATGTGTAGATAGGCAACTGTTCCTGCATAATGTTAGCCAACAACTTTATAAGGTGAGGGTTGTTTTCAGCTTGTTGTACCGTTCTTTTGCCCCCAAGTGGCCAAAAAAATAGGTTATTGCTGCTTTAAAATTGTGGCTCATGATGTGGGTGAGACATTTTTGGAACAGCAGTTTTAGGTCAAATGGTCACATTATGTATGCATGTTGTCATTTTATGGAAGTAAGTTCAAAATGTAAATGTTGTACTTCAAATGCTTGAACCGCTACTTCCTGTCTCTGAGCAGGTATCTGTACTGTGGGGAGATTTCTCTGCGTCTGGACCAGGCCACACCTTTACACAAGCTGGCCACAAAGTACAATGTGATGGGTCTCCAGCAGGGCATCACCGAGTACATGACCCATAATCTGGCCCGAGACTACTCCTCAGGCCACGTGGCGGGCTGGTACGAGTACGCCCTGCAGACCGGGGACGTGACTCTGAGGGACAGCTGTCTTCAGTATATGGCCTGGAACCTGTCGTCGCTCCTGCAGAGCGGTGAGTGGGTGACCATCAGCAGCCAGCTGCTCATGTCCCTGCTGCAGCGCTCAGACCTCATCCTGCAAAGTGAGATGGAGCTCTTTGCAGCGCTGGAGGCCTGGATTATTCATAATGAGCCAGACGGCCTGACAGCAGAGAACGCCTTGAGAGCTGTGCGTTACGCCATGATGCCACCACGGGAGCTCTTCCGTCTGCAGACCCAGTCCTCAGTCCTGGCTCGCTATCAGGAGTCTGTGCGCGACTTACTGTACATGTCCTACCAGTTTCACTCTGCATCGCCACTGCACATGGCCAAATACTTCGACGTGAACTGCAGCCTCTTCATGCCCAGGAACTACCTGTCGTCAGTGTGGGGGTCACCCTGGATCATCAACAACCCCACGCGAGACGACCGCAGCACCAGCTTCCAGACCCAGCTGGGGCCCAGCGGCCACGACGCCAGCAAGCGGGTGACTTGGAACGCCCTGTTCTCACCACGCTGGTTACCCCTCAGCATGAGGCCGATGTACACGGAGACGGGCGCCATGCAGCCAACACGTGTGGAGGGAGGGCGCCCTCGCATCATCATCACGCCGGCCACATCCAGTGCAGATTTCGCCGGAGTGAACTTCCAGAAGACAGTGCTTGTGATGGCTCAGCAGCAGGGGAAGATGGTGGTGAAACACGTCTACAACTTCCACCAGAGCACGGAGGAAAACGGTGATTTCTTGGCCGAAGCCGACCTATACCGGCGGACATCTGAATACCTCATCGATAGCTCCCTCTTCCTCCACATTGTGGTGAAGCCGCTGTACCAAACCCTCATAACCACCAAGAACTGACCCTCCACCCTCCTCTCTGAGCCACCTTCTGAGCCACCTTACCTCACCACACACAATCCAAACCTCTGAAGCGACATCTCGCTCATATCACTTCATGAGGTCATGGATCTGAATCCTCCGCGTGTGTGATGTTTGGATCATTTGTCTTGTCTCACACACCTGCTGTTTTCATTGGGCAACTAAAACACCAAAGCCTGACTGATGACGGTCTGAGAGCATTTTGTGAATCATGTTGAGTGTAAAATGAAACAAGTCTGGTGCTATTCCATATTTTTTAGTCATCAAATCCAATGAAAAGACCAACAGGTACACGCTAACAAGTACTGTTGTGCATCAAAGTCTGATACCTCTTCTTCCTCTTAGCCACAGAGCTCCATTATTGTCCAAAACTATTAAAAAACACACATCAGTGAGCGTCACTGTTGCGCTCGGGGCGATGTGTTCATTCATTATCATGATCACAAACACTGTGGTTTATTTAGACTCAGTCCCACAAACACTGTCCTGCTGCCACAAATACTCATTAGAGAACCAAACGTGTCTTGATCCGCTGCTGAAAATAGTCCCCAACAAATGCACGATTTTCTCGTGTTTGAGTAATGTTTGATAAAAACTACAGTGACCAGCTGTTCTAGCAAATGAATAAAGATTTTGTAAAGATGACACTATATATTTGTGTCCTGTTTATAGAGACTTATGTCTTCAGTATAAAGCAATGGGCTTGGGGCTGAGAACCACAGGGGAAGTCAGAAAATACGGACAGGCAGACTGTTGGTTTTGGTCTTTCATGGGATTTGCTGACAAAAGAAAAATATAGAATATTGTCAGCCTTATCCTTCATGCTTGAGGTTCTGTTCCTGACACATTTTCTTTGTATTATTTTTTATATATTGGTGCTATTATACCCCATTTACACTTAAGGGGTGACTGTTGTCTTTCATCAATCAGTAAGCACTGATTTGGTGATTTGCAGGTCAAACTATATTTATATGTCTAGTCTAAAATTGGACTAAAGTCTAAGATACATATAACCTTTTTTTCAACAGCATTTTTTATGACTACATGTTGTTAGGACTTGCTTTAAAGTGAAATATAGCAATTACAATTTCAACCAAATCTAGCAAAGTTTAAACTTCCAATCACTAAACCAGCGATTGCACTCAAGGTGCTCCAAAGGGCACATTTTTTTCTTTTACTTTAGTGATCATATATTTATAAAACCACTCTTGTAAGCCACCACTGTAGATGTCACATTACCTTGTCATTAGTTCGTCAATGTGATTGAAGTCGTTATCTAGATTCACTGTTTCATTAATCAATGTTATCTGATAATAAAGATTTTTACGAAAGTTTTAAAAGTAAAGTGAGAATCGTCCTGATTGTCGTGTGAATTCAGGTTTTCATCACTTCTCCATCAGAAGCAAAAATAATTCATTAGCAATACGTATTCAGGTCTTTTACTTAAGTTAAGTCAATGTTTTGTATACAGCCCAAAAGTACTAGTTTGTGTAAGGAAGCTTAATAATCTGTACAACATGTGACATGCTCTATGCCTAGATGATGGATACATGTCAGGAAAAACTTCTCCACAAAAACCTTTGATTGGGATGGAAGAAAAACAGAGAAGAGATCTCTACTCCAGGAACTATGAAATAATAAAAAGACTTTATGGACAAACAATATGTTATTTAAGAAGCAAACGAGCAATAGCACCATGCATTACAAGCAAAAGTCCTGCATTTAGAAAATAAAAGTATACGCTACAGTAGTATTGTCAGGAAAATGTATACAATGTATAAATTATAGGATTATTGCTGCACAAACATGTGAGCAGAGATGAAGCTTATATGAATAAAATATTGATTTATTTGCTGTTGGGCAGTGGTTCAATGTAATTTAAATACTTAAGTATAATTTTGAAGTAGTGCCACTTCATGACAGAAATATTGTACTTTGCAATAAATGTCAACAGATATTCTCACTACATTTATCTGAAAGCTATAGTTATAATTTCCTTATTTTCAGCTACACCTTGACCAAATGAATAATATTAGTAATAATTAATAGCATTCCAATAATATGGTATATTATATTAATTACTTTTACTTTAGATATTTAAAATACATTTAGCTGATTTTTGTACTTTCACTGAAGTCAAGTTTTGAAAACAGGACTTAAATAGGACTTGTAATGAAGTTTTTCTTTTTTGAAAGTTGTGTAATTTACAATAATGTATTATTTTTCATGAGCTAGTCATCTTCATTAATTTGCAAAGTAGGCCCTACTACATCAGCCGGATAAATAGGTGTGCAGAACAATATTTCCCTGAATGCTGCTACCTCACCTACCTAAAGCATAATCCTGTCACTTTTTACCGCTGTACACCACACTTCACACCTCGTTACAAAGCGCCAGTTAAAACAAAACCAGCACTGAGATGCAAACAAGTCCGCTGTCTAATCGCTGTAGTACTCCTAGGACTACATTTCCCAGTGTCCTCTGCGCTCCAAGCAGGAAGAACGTTCTCTCGCAGGGGCTCACACTGATCCAAGTTAGGGAGCTTTCAGCTGCCAGCCTTGGCCCATCATGTAAGTGCTGCGGAGAATTCTTTGCAGTGCAATTGCAAAATTACCTCGCTTCCCGACGCCTGTGGGGGCTGTGCAATTGTAAGATCGCTCTTTGCACGGACACGCACGCTTCGGACGCAAAAAAGCTCCAAGTGCATGAAGATCGAGGCTTGTATTTTGCATCTTTGTTGCAAAGCAAGCCGCTGAAGCGCCAGTGCGAGGGCGATGGAGGGAGGGAGTGAGAAAGAAGGCAAAGTCTTTTGTGCTTCCCCTCCCCCTCATCAAAGCAAAGGGGAAATGTCTCAGCCAAAGGGAGGTAAGAATATTAAACCGATCTGTGCAAAACTACCGATATGCAATCACTGCTGCAGGGTTTGCAACATGCACCGCTGCACGTCGAGCACGGCCGGTGCATTTTAAAGTTAGATGATTTAGAAGGGTCAGTTGCATTTCCTGTTTAAGATCTTCCCCTTGCACAGTTCCTGGTAAGACGATGCTGTGTATGTACTCACTCATGTTTGCAGCGTACTGGAAGGGATGTTGGGTACAGGGCGCCTTTAATAGTCACGAGACAGACATGGACACTACAACTCTTTATAATAAACTCTGCCCGAGTTGATGATTGGCTCATGCACATTGTTCAAGGTAAATAATGAAAGCCGTATCGCGTGCAGTGCTACAGATATGCGTAGTTTGGCGCAGGACGGCAACATGACGTGACACACATGCAGCTGTCAGTGGTCAAGTTTGAGTGTTTATTGGTAGCAGATTTGTTTCTGCTTATGGGGTAGAAAATGGAAATCTAATAATAGAATCTGTTGTGAGCATTTAAGTGGTGGTGAGTTCAAGTACAAGGGGCTTTAGGGGTTTAGGTTATTAAAATACAAGTCTCCGAGCAAAAAGTCCCATTCTGTCAGCTGCTGCTTTTGTCCAGGCAACTGGATATGTGTCGAACCCCTGGGTGCTTGTCCACTGATGTTCGGCTTTTTCCTCAGCATGCATACAATAGCATGCATGTCACACTTTGACCCCAACTTATCGCCGTGCAGCAAAGGAGGAGCTGTGGAGTGGCGTTCCTGCAGCCTGAGAGCTTCTTATCTTCATCAGTGAATGCAGCTTTGCAAAGAAAAAACAGCTGCAGTGAAAGCAGCTCAGGCGTTCTTTCCTCCCCTTTGCGTGTTTTCCAAGAAGTCCAAAGTGAGGCTGGTTCATTGCACAACATGTAGAGCACACACACACACACACTCAGAGGCTGTACAAGACATGAACAGGTAAGAGAGAGAGCCCCTGATGGTCAGAGCCTCAGAGTTTATTTGGTACAGTCAGTTGTCCACCCACAGAGGAACTGTTTTGTTGCAGTCAGATAATCTTGTGATGAATAATGCACCTTTTTTTTATTGTAGATGAATGAGTCGCTTTGGGACTTTCCTGAGAGCAAAAGTAGGTTCCTGTTGTCATTCATTGAAGTTGTACGGTGCAAAAAAAACGCACATGTACATACATAGTGCTGAGATGAATAGTCGATTAATCGATTGGTTGATAAGTCACTTATTATTAAGTTTTTGTCTTGACTTTACCACTGACGTTACCTGTCGGTCATCTCTAGGCCGAAGATGTGGCTCTGCGGCAGCTGTGTGAAAGCATGACTCTTTAGTAATGTTGAAACAAATAACTAATTACAGCTGCAATGATTAGTAAATAGAAAGGAAAAATAACCAGTACTGTTTTGATAATCAATTAATCATAAAGTCATTCTCAAGGTAAAAATGCCAAACGTTCTCAGTTCCAGCTCGTCATTTGTGAGGATTTGTTGCTTTTCTGCTGCTGATGTGACAGTAAAGTCAAAACAGACATGGCCTTGAGCATCAGGAAAGTGTTGTCTGGTATTTTATAGACCAGAACAGTTAATTGAAAAAATAATCAGCACATATTTGCATCCCTAAAGTAAAAAAAAAATAATTTATTTACCAAGCAACAATGCTTGTTGAACATTTGTTGGTTTTTAGATTCTCCAGTGTGAGGATGCTTTTTTTCAACTTCATATCACTGGAGATTGAATATTTTGGGGTTTTGGACTGTTGTTCAGACAAAACAAGAAATTTGGAAGATGTCACCTTGGGATGTGGGAGATTGTGGTGGACTTTTTTCATTTTTGTCTGACTAAATGATTAATTCGGGAAACAAAATCTTCAGATTTCTTGATTAGAAGAAGAATTGTCATTGCTACAGCTGTCTGTTTTTCAAAAACTCACCTTTGAACATATGAGATATAACGCATACTATAGACTAATTTGAATTATTAAGTTAAAGTACCTCTGCCTCATTTGAGTTGCAAGGAAAAGGCCTGGTTAGCTCAGGTTCCCTTTTTTAACCACTTTTTTTCTGCAACAAGTCCGGTATGTTGAGTATTATGAAGTGAAACAAAATGGCATTTCAGTCTGATTATCAGGCTGCTGGCTGCTAACAGTTGATTCGGATTTGTGGCAGCAAACCAACTTGCCTTAACTCACAATATATGGTGCTACACGTTACTTCTCAGATGGTTTGTTGTGATTATCTGTTCAGCACGGCTCACTTTTTTCCTCCAGTTTGTGTTAGCAAAGAAACCAACAACAATGGTCCAGTTTTACTGACGGGACAACAGGGCATAGTGCTTTTTACGAATGCTCCCTGGAGTACAGGGCACCACCTGTTTGCACTTAAATGCAAATTAATTAAGATTGTTTAATATAGACAATTAAATTGTGTTCACGTGTAAGTAATAGTTTTACTTTAAAATAAAGGTAACGGCCTTTGGTTCCAGAGTTTTGGTACCACTAAAAAATATGCATTTCAATACCGTAGCCTACTTTAAAGCAGCAGTTACTAATATTTTCACATTGACAGTGGATTTAATGTGAGGCTGCTCGTAGTTATGAACCCACAGAAAATGATCATCCAGCTCTGCAGTTCCTGTCAGCTCTATGGAGCATTTTAGTGTCTTTTATTGTTGTTTTGTTTTTATGTCCCCTGATTTTTTTAAATGAAAAAGCACTGATAAACTCTCTGTACTCTACCTGCTTAGCACCAAACAGCAGACAGACCAAGTTAGCGAGTGGCTGGTGAAGTAAGTGAGGCGTTTAACAGCTAAAGACATTTTTCTCAGGAGTTGGTGGAGACCAAACCAGAGCTAAAAGGACAGAAACATGACTCCAAATAAATGTTGCTTCGTGACTGTTGGATGAATACGCTAGAATTTCTGCTTATTACAACCCCCCCCCCCCCCTCAGTTTTGTCTGAACACAGGAAGCAGAACTTTGCCTAAATGAAATAGTGTAAAATTGGTTAAAAAGTTTTTAATTTTGAATAAAATCCGGAGCTCTCTGATCAAAGAATAAGTAAACATGAAACCTTACCATTTATTACCAACACACAACACTTGAGATTGTTTTGTTGAGTGGTTCATAATAACTTGAAGGAAATGAGTACAAATCTGCAAACCTAAAATTAGCACTTGTCCTTGTGTTTAAATCAAACGATGCCAGACCGAACTAAGTCACTTCATCCTGCAGTTGGTTTCCTTCTCATATCATTTGGCACAGATGCATGTTAAGTCTTGTGTCTCCTCCTCGATCGCTGCCCTGTGAGGCCCAGACAGTTTTTGCCCTCATTATTGTGCGCTGTACTGTGCTGAGTGCTGTAGTGTGCTCGGCTGGCCGATGGCAGAGTGACAGCGGTCCTCCCAGCTCGTGTCCCCCTGCAGCCTCGGCCGGCCCTCACACCCCTCCACAAACGTCCCGTTTGTCATGCAAATGGAGGCCGTGTTTTCAGCTGCACAGATACTAAATTTGCTGTTTCAACGGGCCAATTGTTGGTCCAGTTCCAGGCCTATAGCGGCCTTTTCGCTGCAATAACAGAATTGTTCAGAGCATTTTGGGGTGGGGGGGTTGAGGGACTGACTAAGCATGCATGCATTCAGACCGCAAAAACTTCTCTGATGGCAAGAGTTAGTGACAATATTTAGGATATTTCAAACTATTCCTGTTTTATTTTCCCACTTTGTCACAGGTGTGTGTGCAAGCAGAGGTGTATAATGCAATTGGGAGATATTACTGTGACTCTGCTTTTTGCAATAAAGCTTAAAAAGGTCATGATGGCAGCAGGTGGTGCACCGTAGCACAGCCTTGCAAATCAAGATAGTGAACGCAACTTATTACGTTATTTATTTCAGGTGCAGATCGATCTGCTCCCTCTAACTGCACGGTGCATGTATACTATGTTTCTTTTATCACCAGTGGCCTTCACTGCAACTGATACAACCTTGTCTGAAAAATATATAGAAAGATTGAAGCTAAAATGACTGTGGAGGGAAATGTGTTTGCACATGCGTCTCAGCCCAACGTGAATTTAGTTATTCCAAAATATTTCACTCCACATGTGGATGGTGATTTAGAAAGCGGTTGCAGGCAGCTATTTTCTCTGAGCTGATAGCAGTTTTAACGCTTGTTTGCTTTTGTTGTTTTTTTCCAAAGCACTTGTGTTTTGTTTGTGTTGAATAAAACAACTCATCACCAGCTCCCACCAGCAGCGCCGCATTCATTGGCCAGAAATTGTATTTCAGCAAATTGGGGATGAATGCTTGATCTGTCTTATATTAAATTTACAATGATGATATACGTGACACAGACCCTCAGGGCTGCGTGGATGTGGAAAGCATAATTTGAGCAGATGTCTGTTAGAGGTTTTATCAGTGACTCCGTCTTTTAAGTATTTTGCAGTAGAAAGCCTGTTTGTTGGCCATCCTGAGTGGAAGGGACGCTCCACTCTGTTTCTCACTGGTGGATCCTATAATAAATGAACCATGTGCATCATGTAGCCTCTTAATGGGACTGCATGCATTTCGGGCTTGAGCTGTGTTGGAAGTTTTACAAATGTTACTACGTTTGACCCAGTCAGTTCGCTGTTGTGGCTTTTACAGAAAAGTAAATTGGGTGCTGACTGACATGCAGTCACAGAATGTAGTGCGTGTCTGAATGGGGCCAAAACAGAACAATACTTGATTGTAAAACCATAATGAGATTTAAAGTTTGGCTCTCTTTAAGTTTCCTGAACTCATTCTTGATTTCCACATGTTTCCTGGCAGTAGATTAGGTGAACATAGGGCTGGCCAATATGGCCAAAAAAGTTTCATACCTTTCAATGTCGATAATTATCACGATATGTATCAAATCTTTATTTCTTTCAAGTTGAAAGGCTGATTTTTGCTCCTAAGTGAAAGTTGAAGAAACCTGATGGTCAGTCGTGGTTTAAACTCTTCTTTATGGTCAACACTTGAGG